GAACGTGCTTGGAAGTTTCTCCGAATACCCCAATTCATGTAAGATATGCCACGCGGGTGAGTGTATATGGTTAACGGCTAATGGTCTGATTATGCCAACTTAACGTAACTTACAGCCTCTCACTTAAAAATTCTCTTAAATGGATGTTGCTTATAATTGAACAGCTGAAGCTTCATGTAACTTAATGCCACGTCCAAATCTGTTTCATTTTGATTTTCTAAGTTCTAAGTTCCGTAGAGTTAAGTCAAGTTTTCATAATCAGGCTTTAACAGGTTAACCTAATACTCGCGGCGGAAAAAGTTACCAAACCGGATCCAGGCTTTGTAAAAAAAATATTAGGGATTATAGCGGAGCTTTTTCGAATTCAAAATCTGAAGACCCCACCCTCCGGAGGCTTATAGTTTTTAAGTAACTCGCATCCAAAGTTGCAAATAATACCGAATTCAACCTCACTTTTTCCTTTGTACACCAATTGAACTGAAATGTCGGTGCTGCCATACATACCAAAAAATGCAAAAAAAAAAACGGAAGCAATAAAAAAATGCACATAAAGTCGCGATTTTTTATTAAAAATTTTAATTATTTATAGCGCGATTTATCGAAGTATCGATGTTATAATAAAAAGCGACGCATTTGCATAATTTATCGAAGTATCGATTTTATAATAATTCATAAATAATAATTTTCATTATTTATCGAAGTATGGATTTTAAAATAAAAAACGCCGCAGGCCAAAATTTTTAATTAAAAATCGCGAGAATTGTAATTAAAAATTTTCATTATTTATCGAAGTATCGATTTTATAATAAAAAGCGCCGCAAGCGAAAATTTTTAATAAAAAAAACGCGCGATTTTTAATTAAAAATTTTCATTATTCATCGAAGTATCGATTTTATAATAAAAATCACAGCAGGCGAAAATTTGTAATAAAAAATCGCGCGATTTTTAATTAAAAATTTTCGAAATATATGGAGCTGTATTAAAAAAACTAAAGAATCAATAAAAAAACGACAATAATACAGTTTATAGGTGTATTTTATAGCTTCAAGAAGTATGACAGCAGACACTTGCTCTTACTGTCGGCCATGGTTATTTCTGTTTGTTTGTGAAAAGTGCTAAAACGAGTGAACGAATTTATAAACGCATTTTACTTAAATAATTGATGAATATATATATATATATTAAAAGTATAAAATACGCACGTGAACATTGAAAATATAATATATCACACAAAATATAAGTGATAAGTGGCATTTAAATGCAAACCAAAGTTCCCGAAATCTTAAGGAAATCGTTAGGAGTATCTCATTTCTGTAACGATTTTTTTACGAATTTTCAAAGAAAATTATGGCTGCGTTTCTTTATACATTCCGGATAATCCCATTTCACAGCCGGAATAAACAGAATGCGTTTGAAATACATGATCCAATAATGAAAGGTTTTGTAAGTAAAACTTTCTCTCGCTC